GAGAACTAAGTATTTGCCCTCGAAATGTTAAATATATTTTACATGCAGACTCCCCATAACTAGTATCTTCCTTTACTTTCCTGAGATGGTATAATACATTTGGTAATAGCTATTTTTTTTTTTTTTTAATACAAAACACTTCAAAGCTTACTCGAAAGTTGATAAATAGTTGAACATAGTAGACTCATAAAACCTCGTTGGTAATTTAAACATATCTTCGAATATTCTAATCTTGGATGTTCATAACTGTCGAATGGTTAAGGATTTAGCCATTCGGTAAACCTTAAGGGTTTAAGCCCTTATGCATGTTGATAAATTAAGGGTACATTACAGTAAAAGTTCAACGCTTACCTTTTGCAGTCTTGCGGCGAGGCCGCTCTGCCATCGTATCATTCGAACATCGATGATAGCTCAAAAAAATGTCGTCGCTTTAATTTTTCACTACATAAAAGAGACGGAAAAAAATCCATTTGATATAAATGGGCACTTTTTAAACGTTTATAAACCTATTGACGATCTCAATGTTGAACAAAATGATTGAATAGAAGGTAGGTCAGAGGACTGACTCGTACATTATTATAAAACTGTCTGGCCAGCCACGTATTACCTTACATCTGCTTAAATTTAGGAGAAGCCTTTGTAGTTTAAACAACAGATTGGAGAACCAGCATTGCGTGTTCTGAAGATCTATTTATTCATCAGAATGGTGGAACTTTTGGTCTGCCAATCGATATGATTCAGTTTATCATATACTCAAGAAAATATCTCATTCCTGATTGGATGGGTTGCATAAAATATTTATGGCTTAGTTTGCTTGTCAAATTTGTATATTCAATAACCGATTCAAAGAAAACACAAGCATTTTCCAAACCGTTGAAAAGTGCTCACAGTGATGTGCCCCGCGGGTGTAGCGGAAGAGTGAGTAAGCGATATAAATTGGAATGATACGAATGAAAATTCCATACGATTATGCACTTCTGGATTTTGGGTCACTCAGCGGTCATAGGTGGGGCGAAAGTATTTTTCAAACGTCTTACTAATCTAAGCGTTTAGCTTTTCAGTCATTTGCATATGCTAAGAGAATGGTTTCAGAAGTTGTGTTTCAATTTCTTTACTTTTGAATATTTTCACATCAAATTCTCGGTCCTATCCGGCTCCGAATGCGTCGATCAGTATGCCGATTGAATGTAAAGAAGCCCTTCACTTACTTTGACGACATTAGTATTTATTATGATGGTTTATATTTACCTAGGTTTCTTTAGACAGTTAAGGACGTTTACAAAAGAAAACTTTGGGTATTTCATGAAGAATCTAAACTCTAGTCGTGTATGGAATGAGTTCGCATATTTCGCTCACTGATTTTCATTCACTATAGATTTGATCACGGAAATAAACTTTGAGTCCTGACAAATAAAACACATACTGCCACTAGAAATGTTCATAACGTAGGCCACTGAATTTGTTTCCGACCTTTCACGGAGACAGCATCGGCAATCGCTTTTGGTTTGAATTTTAAACCAGAACTATGACAGGCCCTGCTTGTTACCAGAAATGAGGAAAGAATCTGTTAATTAAATGCCTTTGATTAACGCCGGACTTTGCCGATGTCGGATCGACGATATTTGCGGGCCATATTGCTATCACTCTAGAAAACAACGGCAATGGCTCCAGAAACTATTTACAAGAGCTAAAAGATCTAAAACTGCAAACTGAGGGGCGGACAAGTTCTCAAAGATCGCGGCACTTGACTTGCAGAATCCACGCAAACAAGTGCAAGCTTTCCCGAAGGAGTCCCAAGGCTCGGCCGAGAAATTTGAAGAGGCGTAAGATTGTTTACTTCATGGAGAATATTTCCTGCTACGGCTGGATCGTTTCTCAGAAAGCAAATTGTTATTAATTTGGTGTTCACGAAGCTTGCGGCTTGTCTGCCCAACGAGACGTGAGGCAATTTAACTTCTTCTAATAGTTGAAGTATAATTAAATAACACTTACCTCAATCTTCCTTGCCGTTACAAACAACCATTCAAATCTATTCGCAATAAAACAGTTTTTAAAAGCCGAAAAATGAATCGATTTCCGCACCTATGTCATTCGATATTCCCAGAAACTACTTATGTAAAAATGCCGACGACTTTCAGAGAAAATGACAGTTCTCTACCAATCATATTGCACGGTATACCATCCCACCTCACGACCGGAAGGCGAAAGTGATTCTTGGAACCCAGAGCTGGATTCTTGGAATTGGCTTAGTTAAGCAAATAAAGCAATGCTTATCACGGTTGGACGATTATCATGTTAAAAAATATCTGCTTAAACGTATTCTAGGTCAGTGTATTAGATTGCTGATAAAATAAACATTATTTAAACGAAGTTGCAAATACTAAATAGTCAATTCATTCAAGCTTGTTTGGAGTTTCTTATTCTGCGGAAAAAAAAAGCAGAACATTTCAGGCTTTTGATAACTGCGATACGTCACTATTTACTCTTCTTTAATTCAATAGATAAACCACTGTTAATAACTTTATTGCGTTACGTTACGTTGTCTCAACGAGGTTCACAAATCGGGCTCTCGCTTTGCAGTCGTCTGACTTTGTTAATCACTCCTATGATTACAGACAGAATATTGGACCCCACTCATTCCTACTGAGATTAAAAATAATTTTCTAAATGTTCCTAGTTGTTTATCTTTTGTTGGATCACAGCTCACGTGGCTGGTAGGCTCATAACAACCGTGGTATCACAGTTAATGGTACAATGGGATGAGTGGCCTCTAAGTCAATAGCGGTCATCAGACACTCGCTCGCTGCTTCGTGCTCGTCTTGGGCTTCCAAAACCACGCCCAAAAGATGCCTAAAATGAAATCCACCACCCAGCAAGCAGACACACACATCGTTAGTATCAATACGATTAACCTGTGTGACCAAGACAGGATTTCTCCTTATAAATGGATCCAATACCATATTCTCGAAACGAACATCATAAGAATTATATTACAGACAATGAGGAGAAATACTAATAAGATCGTGGGAGGGACCGAGTTAATTGTTCTCGAAGGCTTTGTTTCGACACTGTGGTCACAGGAGAGCGTTAGCCGACAAGATAACGGAAAGGTTCTACTTTCCTCAGAGTTTATGCGTGGAAATAAACCCAACTACACGCTTCATAGCTGTTTAGTTACACTACGAGGTCAAAATAATATTGACACGATGCAACTCGAGGCACGAAATAAAATTCAAAAAAAACTATGATAACGTAACGCAACGTGTTATTGGTCAAGGGGATCTGACAACAGGGTTATACATCCATGTAAGCAAGAGAGAGAGAGAGAGAGATGAAGACAAGGTCACATAACCTGTCTTATTCAGTCAAATTAGAATTAATGGTACCCTCTAGCTTAATGATTTACACTCGCGCCCAAACGAAGGACTTGAATGAAACTGACAACTCACCAAGCTTCAAATGCTGTTGGATCGATATTGATGGCTTCGCGGAGTACTTTCTCAGCCATGACGAGGTTACCAAGTTTGTGATACACTGCACCCTAAAGAGAACAAATGAATTAAACGGTTTTACATGTTAACCTATAAGTCTATAAACATAGCCGCGAAACTTTCCTGACTTTATTATTCACATGGCACAATCTGGAGAAGGAGAAACAATCGAAAATAAAAAAAAAAAATCAAAATTACGCTGAAATTAATTATCATTCTTGGTACTCCGTATACTATTTAACAACTGAAATTGTGCGTCATACTCCATTCTGAAAATACCATCCATTGGAAGGGGTAATATTTGTAGGTGGTAAAAATGTGAGGGGACCCACACAATCATTGAAAATATTTCAGTGACGGGGGGGAACGGTCAATATTATCACTCACCTGAGGGGCTGGTAGAGGGGGACTCACAGGATTCTGGTTAAGTCAAGATAAAAGTTATCTGAATCCCCCCTCCCATAGGGCTTTGTAATATTCTTATGATCCCTCCCTTATTAGCATTTAATTGGCAGTCAATTTTCTGACACCCCCCTTCCGTTCCCCCCTGAAAACCATGGATCCTCCCAAAATCTTCTCCTCTAGGCAATAAATAACGACTGGTCCCTCATTGTGCGATGGATTTAAAATAGTCAGAATTAGAACACGGGAACCATATGCCGATAAGGATTCGTTAATGAATGTAGTGTAATTTTGTTCGTCTTACCAGAAGTTGAATGCTGGCCACGTGGTTCGGGTTTATGGAGATCGCATTATCGAAGCAATTCTTGGCTTCCATAAGGTTTTCTCTGAGCTCAAAAATGCGGCCACGCTGTGTAGGAAAAATTGAGAACAACAAATTAACCATTTGAAGTCTGCATGTAGGACTGAGTGGGAACTTCCGATGCGCAGATCATCGTCCTATCCCTGCATTAGGTCATCGCGGTTCTTACTATTGCGCTGTTCCCGTTCCAGGCTTTTGCTCGGTCACCGCATTCTCAAAGCGGTCGCTCCCTCGATCTAAACCTCCCTACTGAGAGCACAGTATTTTTAACAAAGGGGAAGATAATACGTATGCGTGCACTGATAACACGCAAGCAAGACTTATCATACCTGGAATAGCACATCTGGGGAAAAAGGGAAAATCAAATGAGCCTCCTGAACGCATGCGCTGGCTTCAGTGTCCTTCTTCATTGCGATATACACATCAGCTGTAACAAAACACAACATAAGTCTGAAATAAATCAACAAACCACTTCCCTGAGTGACTAAATAGAAGTGAGTTAGATAAGGTATAAAGTGTTGACAAACTGTAAAAAGATCTCATGCTGTAGTTTTCGCAACTGATCTGAGATTGTGCTGGTCTTAGTTGACTTTGCATAAAATAAGACTTACCGATAGCAAGCCAGAGTTTTGCTTGTAAGGCCAAGACAGCCGGGACGCTGAGTTTGACGGAAGTGGAGGCAGCCTCGTCCGATAAGGCTTGCTCAAGGCGCACTGAAGCGGCGATTGAACTGGCACCATCATCTGACAAGAAACACCAACAGTAATTAGTAATTAGTAATTAGTTTCCAACAGCCTGACAATAACCAAAGTTGCACGGGGAATTCTATTGTTTAACAGAGCACTTACTGGAGTCTTTGTCACTGGTGAGTTCCGTGAGTGGAATCTGTTTCAAGCTTCGGGAATCTGTGATGACTTTGTCTAGTAAACCCGATCCAGCCCTTTGAAGCTCTGTGGATCTACGTTGAGAACAGTTACTTGATAAGACCTTTAGCCCCACTCTAAATTTTAAACAGTTTGTGGGTAAGGCATTGAGTCTGGAATAAATTTTGTTGGTTTACTTTTAGCACACAAAATTCCTCCTGCAAACAGAGGTTGATTGACAGTTCTTAAACGCCTAATGGCCTCTTCCTTTCGCGTCTTGTAATAATTTTTCAAGCTTCACGTGACTGTAAGTCCCACTCCCACTCAACGGGATGTTCATCCCTAGTTCGTACACCCCACCCCCCACCCCTACCTCAGCAACTTGGGTTCCCCCGGACACTTCACAGGCATCAATTATTAATACTGGTAGGAGCACTGGAAAGGCTGAGAGTCTCGCCCACAGAAGCAAGGAAATTAAAATTCCGCGGCTCTCTAATCTCAATTCAGTTATCCACAAATTGAGATTTAGAATTGCTTCTAAAATCAACAAACTTCCTATCAAACTTCGAGATGTGAAAAATCCTTTCTTATTTTTAAGTTTTGGTTCACTGCTTACCACCTTCAAATGGTTTTACCCGCAAAAAGTAATTCTGCGCAACAAGCAGAAACTTCACTCGTTATTTTTTTAATCAAGTGCACCTTCGTTTTGATCGACGAATCACCACTCACCCTGAGAGATCAGACTCGTACACCTGTTTCCAGGTCTCCAGCAACCGTTTGCACGTGATAAGCGCTTGGTCTCCACCTAAGCAGGCCTGTTCTAGCTTAACCTTCGTCAGAAGCAAACTCGGAACAGATAAAAGATAACGCTAAGCAAAATAGGAGTAAGAGTGCTTCTCGGGAATGAAACACCTGTCCATAGCAGGCTGGAACCCCTCTGCATTTCAGCTGAGAACTGAGGTATTCAAGTATCAAGTTACCCCACCAAAAAAAAGAAGAATAAAAAAAAGAAGCAGAAAAGAAGCCTGGAGAAAAAATTAGGCTTCAACGATTTTCGAACTAGTTTGGCGCTACTACCAAGCGCCACGAAGCTACACGTTGGGAACGAGGGAAAGTTTTTTAGAGAGTTCTTTTTTCCTACGGCGGAATCTGATTACAATTTTTCATGAAATAAATTTAAATTGACCTGCGGATAAAAGTCAAGTACAGCTCACCTGTGGAACAGGTGAGCTGAAGTACTATACACACCTGAAGTCGTCAGGGAATTCCATCAGGGCAGCGTCACAGACTTCAAGTGCTTCAACAAACTACAAATGAACATCATAAATCAAACTGCAACTTCTCCTCGTTACACCAGATCAGCACGACATGCAGGCGAGGTGGTGAGAAATTAATCACCAATACAAAACATTGAAAAAGATCACTTAAGAGAATTCATGTTTTGAGCTGTGAGATGTTTTGAGATGAGATGGAGAATAAACTCACCTACCTTTTTCTGAGAGGAAAGTATAAGAGCTAAGAGATGCAGGAAAAAGGATTGGTTCATGTCCATTTTAAGTGCATTTCTGATGTTCTTTAGGGCCTTTGTCATCTAAGATGGACGTAAATAAAACTTTTAGGGTCCAGTTTCTAAACAATCCACAGTTTTAAGCGCTCTGTGATCGAGTATCGTAAAACAAAAAGCAAAGGAATCGAAACAGTTACTAAGAATACACGCCGGTGTTTCCCGCGGCGCACTAACATTATTAATTTTATTTTTACTAATTTTTTTTTTCTAACTCGCGCAACGGACTTCGCCTAAAAGATGGGACTGTCCGTAGTCTACAGCACACGATGACGAAATAGGAACAGGAACTTTACAGAAGTCTTTGTTTCTCCCTTTACTTTCCCACGGTCCATCCAAAAGAACAAAGCGGTTGGTAATTTTCAAACTATCTCTTACCTGTCTCATGAGAGCATGATTAAGGGCGAGGTTAAACAAAACTTCACTGTCGTCAGGATCCAAGTTATGCCCCCTGTGTAAACAGAGAAAATGCCAAAAATAAACAAGGAGAAATTGATTTTT